TTATCTAACTACTGTAATTTGGATACTAATAATTTTTGTGGAGATACAATCAATTTCACTTCCTCCCTAATTATGGAAGTGATTTGGTAGGGCGATAGTTGAAGGGAGAATCATATAGTTCCTGGTTTTCGGCTCTCCCCAGTGCATTTTTTCTTTTGGTCCGGCCTCGTGGGATTGGTACTGGGTAAATTCTTGCTTAGTCCTACAAAAACAACGGTTGTGAGTCCAAGCCAGAAATTCCACGATGAATCGAGTGTTCAACGCATGTAGGTCTGGGTCTCAGGTTCGGTCACTAAGGAAAGCAAGAGAAAAATTAAAAAGAATAAAAATTAAAACTGTAATTTTCCTAAAATTTCAGAGAATTGAAAGGGCCTTTTTTTCTAAAAAAGTTCCAATGAAAACCTTCCATAGTGGAATGTGGCCTACTAGAGGTCCAGATTGACTGGATTCAACCAAAGCACAAAAGTTTTAGGGCCATGGACAAGAAGTTAGGCCCACAAAGCAGAGAGAGTTTCATCTTGAAAACTAACTTAAAACAAGTCCAATCCCTACATGGCCCAAGCCCACATATAGCCATGTAGGGATTGGACTTGTTTTATTTGTCTTCCTTTTAGTAGCTTGTGCACAACCCCACTTAGGTTTTGTCTAATAAGACCATGTCTTTTAAGCTTCTCCTTCGTTATTAGATCAATCTTGGGTAACTTGGCATCAGAGAGCCAATTCGGGTCCAAAACTCAATCGCCCTGACCTTCTTTTCATATGCAGGATTCCCACCTAATTTCGTGCTTTGATCGGCATCCTTTAGGGCCTTGGTTAGAGAAATTTTCCCGAGGACTAGTAGAGATGATTAGTTCCAGGGTGGGTAGATTTAAAATCAAGAATTTGGAACCTACCCTATTAGATTCGATTTCCTTAGGAGCTGGCCTGGAACCAAACCGGCTGATTCAGGCTGGTTTTAGAGTCGACCCAAGAGGCGGGCCTAACTTTAAATAATATAACTATTATTTTATGGAAACATACCATGTGAATAATTTGTGGCATAGTGGTTAATGCATTGATGAATTTTTTTAGCCTTTCCAGATTGGAAACCCATCTCCAACATATTTATCTTTTCCCTAAACAAAGTAAAAGGGAAAAAAAGAAGAAGCTAAAAGCAAGTTCCCAAATCAGTAAGGGCCCGTCGCCCTATTCTTTGAACTGGTCCAACTGCTCACCCTCAAAGACTAGAGCTCGATGGGGGTCATTCTCAATCAGCTAAAGTTTCTAAAGTTATTCAATTTGTAGTTGGTGTTCGCCTGCGGCCAGATTTGAGGCATTAGTGCACATTCGATCCATGATTTATAGTACTAGGGTTCCTAACTAATCGGTGGATGATCAAGTAACAGGGTGCTTATCTAAGTACAGTAGGCGAATTCTCCCTTGGCGGTTCTCAAAGGGACATTAGGAAATTCGGATAGAAAGTCGCCGGGATAATTATCAAAAAGGTACTTAACCTATTGTACGAATATAAATTTAGTCCAAAATCTTTTAATTTGGCTAATTTCGTTTTAAACTTTTTGACAATTTGCCAATGTTTAGCCAATTTTGATGGGAAATCGCTAAAGTGAACACTGGGTGTCCTACGTGACATGATCGATGTTGACATTGAAGATTTTTAACATTTTTGTAAAAAAAATTATAAAATTCAATACTTTTTTTAAAAATTTTCTTTTTTGCTTTCCTCTTTCTTTTCTCTCTCTTTTTCCTTCTTCCTCCGCTGGTCAAATAAAAATTTTAGAGAAATAAAAACGAAAATGAAAAAAATCGTCCACATCAGTATTGGTTGTGCCGTGTAGGATGGACGGTATCCACGTCAAAAAACCGGCATCTGCATTAGCGATTGTCGCTCAAAACTGGCCAAAAGGACTACATTGGTAAATCATCAAAAGGTTTAACACTAAATTGGCCAAATTAAAAGTTTTATGTCTGAATTAATATTCACACAATAGGTTTAAGACTCTTTTGGTAATTTTCCTAAAGGAAATCAGTATGGTTTTTGCTCGACATTTCTAAGCATGGTTTCAAATCAAATTACTCAAAAGAATCACACATAGAGCAAATGATGTGTCTAATTTATCTTGGGTCACTTAGATCTGAGCAGTGAGTATATAATATAGCCAACTGTGTCCAAGGCTATGAAAGTTAACTAGACACTTGAAAGTTGCTAATCAAGCACAAAGAGCTATGTCAATGTGATGTTGTCTTTATAGTCTACATTAAATGAATCCGCTACTCGGAAACTATCACGTAAGATTTTCTTGTGTCATCGGCGCTATATGTTAACAGGACATAGCTAGTGAAATCTTCATATGGAAGTTCCGGAGTATATGAACATCCGAGTGGTTCGAGAACTATGTAACTTTTTCGCCCATAGGTTAACCACAAGAAAATTTCCAAGTCTTGCTCCATCAAAGAAATGATCATAGGACATGCACTTGAGAGAGAGAGAGAGAGAGAGAGAGAGAGAGAGAGAGAGAGAGAGAGAGAGAGAGAGAGAGAGAGAGAGAGAGAGTTCATCGAGAATGGAGGAGGGAACAATGCGTACCTTATGGCAATGCTAATGGAGTCGTGACTACGCTTGGATGTATTCCACTTGCTGCAGATTGTGAAACATAAAACCTCACAGAGAGAAGGTTAAGGATGTGTGTGTGTGTGTGTGTGTGTGTGTGTGTGTGAGAGAGAGAGAGAGAGAGAGAGAGAGAGAGAGAGAGAGACCCTTGTTGCTCTCCTCTTCCAATCTCAGTTAAGAGCCCACATATAACAAGAGAAGGACTTAAGAAGTAGGAATTCACATAGAGACAGAAGAACAGAATCGCCAGCCTATTCAGCCTTTCCTTCTGTTCAAAGAAACCGGCCCCATGTGGACCAAGAAACCTCAAGAAAATCAACAGCATCGACCCTCTGTTTCACATGATGCTAGTTGGTGAGGGACTGACAAAAGGAGATCAATCACTGGTTAATATAGTCCATACCTAATCTTGAAACCAGAATCCCATGTTTGACCAAGTAAGTGAGCAAGCATTGCTATGAAGAGATCCCTCTTTTCCACTTGCTATCCCCACCCTAAGCAGGCAATTAGTCCGACTTCCACGTGCATGTTGCAGTTTCTAGGTAGTGTGATTATCTTAGCTAGTCCTGGTATGTACCTTTATGGTAACAGACCACTCTATATCGAGGAATTAGCCCTTAATGATGCCGAAAAAGTTGTTGAATCTCAACTAATTATATGATTAAGGCATTCTTTTCTCGGGTACCATAGTGCGACCCAGTCAATCAGTATCGTAACGACTAACACCATAACCAGGAAATATGTAAGTCTCGGTCTTTGTCGAAGGTTAGCGTTAGGTTTTCTAATTGATCTAGAAGAATAGAGAGGGCATGAAAGGAGAAGCGACCGATTGGAAAAGAGCTTCGATTGCTAGTTGACAGATGTACGCCTGATCGACTGCGTTTGCACAGGGGAAAGATGCTTCCATGATTATTGAGCAGTCTAAGGATCTTTAGTCAACTTCTGTGTCAAATGATTCAACAGAAGAACAGAGATATGCCTAGTGAAACGAGAACATTACTAATCCAATAAGGTCTTACAGAACACGGCAATAATATTATACCCACATATACAATAATTCGACTTGCGAAGCTCGCTAGAGAAGAAAGATCAAGGTTCAGACTACCCGGCAAACTGGTTGATCAATTTAACCTGACAGAAACTCAAACCAATATACACACATCCGCAGGTCACAAAAATCTTTTGAGGGTGTGTGCGCCGTCCCGTCCCCGCATAGGCTCATACTGAATGAGATTGAAGGAGACATAGGTTTAAGAAGTTGAACATTGCAGCTCATTAAAAAAGCAGAGAATTGACCATTGTTCTATGAGCAGCAATCTTTGACTTTATCATCCTAAAAAAGCCACAATCAGGCAACTAATTGAGGGCACCTACCTTACTTAGTCGTATGTTAAGGTGGTTGAAGATCAAAATCACGGTGAAGTTGGCAAGAGTCCCACCCACCAAGCACAAGACTGAACAACAAAGTCAGAGCCATTGTCAACTGTCAACCCATTCTAATTTATTTATTAACTGATTTTCCTAAGGAAGGTAAAAGAGTCCATCAATCATCGGTTATGACCAACTGCCCGTTTTTGAGTCGTCATTTGACCATGTACCAAATAGAATTCATGCTAAAGACTGAGGTTCTCAATCACTCAGAGAAATATCCTTCTTACATAGCAGAAACAAGAAACCAGACTATTATCTAGGTATACCAGTGCAATTTTTATGAATTATATTGAACTCGTAATGAAGAAGAGAACATACTATTCCGACCACGAGATGCATCACAGATGACAAGTAAGTCAGTATACTCATAGTATCAAACTCCTGTCTCTTGTATGAATGTTTCCACAAGATACAATCTGATAAAGGATATACCAAGAAAATGAGGAAAACATGGACTCCATAACAAGCTGAGGTGACAATGCGAGGGAAATATAAGTCCTAGGTCCGATAGTGCTCCGTGAGAGGCAGGCAGGTGAGTAAAACTTTCCCACATCATCAGAGCAAACCTTTAGAAGCCCACTTAGACTAACATTATAGCAAAGTGCAAGCATGTTGATCAACATATCAAGTCATTCCTCTGACCCTAACATATCACAAGTCAACATGGGCATGTCAACGTTGTTAAACACATTTTAAGTTCTGCAATGAGTCATGTTTTCCCCTGAAAGGGAAAATCACATTTAGATTTTAGAAATAAGCTGCATTTACAAAGAGGATATGTGGACAAAATTACTCCAAATAGGAAATTAAGCATCAAATGAATAACCTTATCTTGAACACAATTCATACATTGATGTAGAAAAAACATCAAGATTGGCTCAAGCAGACTTCTCCGCTTCTGCAGCTGCCTCTTCCTCCATCAACTTCTTTAGAGATGGAGGTGGTCTGACAACAATGCTCCTTTTCCATTTACGGTCAAGCTTTCTCGATAACCTCTTGTTAATTCCTTCCTCGATTTCTCTTTCCCGTTTCACGGTTAACAGCCGAGCGATCTACCATTTACAAGATAATCATCATCAGAATGCTAAAATCTAAAGCCCAAGTTGTAGTTTTCTATAGCAATTAAACTTGCTTCTGGAAGAAGGAAGTGGAATACAACTGTTCGGAAATCCCAAATCTCATTTCACACGTGCATGTGTCTGTTTGGGGAAGTTTTACATCAAAAAGTGAACCCAGATGAAGTTTTAGAATCCAATTGCACAAGGGATATTGAACATGTAAAGAGGACAAGCTGCAAGAACTTATATCCATCGCTGTCTGAGGTAGGACGTAATATAAAAGCATAAAGAAACATGTCATTAGACATCACACAAATACAGGCCACACCTAGTGCATTAAAGGCAGCTTAACTACCTCCAAGGAGGCCCTACACAGAGGTTAGGGAACCAAATTAGCAGTTCTTATGCGAATGAATAAACAATTTGTGGTGCCATGATGATGACTTATACCAGGTCGCTCCCATTCTAAAAATCTTCCTCTAAAGTCAAAAGAAGGAATTAGTAGTTCTCAGCATTTTCCACTTCTTCAGGTCCGATTAATGGTTTGGACAGTCGGAGAATGTATAACATGGGAGTAGAAGGCATTCTTTCAACATGTGAGAGAGTGAGAAACATGATAAGATAGGCAAAGGCAGATCATGTTGAGGATTTGAGCAGCAAGTCCCTGAACCAAGGAATCAGGACATAGGGCAATGTCTCTATACTGGCAGGACGACGAAGGGTACCCGACATTTCCATTCATCCAAAGGCCATTTTATGTAACCTAGTGACTCTAAAGACTCAGGTTATTTGCAATATACGAAGGCATATAACTGGATCACGGTCCCCATTGATACTAGCTAACGGTATTCAGTAAGAGATGTTTGCTGTTCAATTTATTATATCTCAATTTGCATATGCAAGTTATACAAGACAAGGGTTTGAAACTGTATGCTCTCTCTGATAATGATGAATGAATCAGCAGAGAACAGGTGAGGCAAATTACAACCATATACATAAATAAATGTAAAGACCCACTTAACTGTGCATGTGTCCCTAAATCTTGTGATCTAAATCACAAGACAAATTCACTGAAAGCAGGAAGCATTGAAAGCAATCCAATGGAAATTAAAGAAAGCTAGAGTGTAGAGTGCAGTCGGAAGTCGATTGATTTTCCATTAATAGCGGAAATTACCCCTCATAAGGTATTTCTATCACTCTTCAGGCTGACATTGAAGGCATAGCCCCAATTCTCAGGTATATATAGGGTATAAGGGATGATAAGGCATCTGTCTCCTTGCAAGGAAGAGGTTTTCTTGCTAATGAGATGAGTGGAAGAGCTGCTTTCAGTCGAGAGATAACTTTTATTATTACATTTCTTTCTTGATGCTTTGAACAATAAGGAAGTGAACAGGAACAAGGGTAGTGTTCACCTGTTAGGCAGTTGCAGTAATTGGTGCTGGAGATAAGGAACATGGCAAAGACAAGGTGTTTAGGTTAGAGATTGGTCTGCAAGAGTGGGCTCAGAAAGAGCTGCAAAAACTAAATCTGCAGGACCTGACCTCAGCAATTCAAGTACCTGAAGCCTTGGTGGAATTAAGGAAGAGGCACGTGACTGCTAGACTAAAGCAGATAGATGAAGGGCAGTGGATGGGATAAGGATGTCAGCCAAGCATGGCCAGCCAAAGAAGCTCCCTAAGGTGGTGTCACTGGTTCCACTACGCCAAACAGGATTTTGAGACTGAGCACGAACCTCCGGCTTTGAACTTGAGTGACTTCTTGTTCCTCTGATTAGCTTTATTGGGCAAGCCCAGGGTTCCATTGTAGGCGTGTTTGAGCAAACTTAAAAAGTTCTTTACACAAGAACGAACCTTTAATTCCGCAGCATATGCCCTCTTCCCCAGGTGGCGCAGAAGGGGGAAGAGAAAGCCCTTCTAAAATAGATTTAGTAAAAGGTTTTCCAACTAGCCGAAACTATCACGTCATTAAGTCATTCTTAAGTAAACATAGACATCACCTCCTGCATTGCGTATATAAACCTCTATTTTTATACCTCCTGGCTTACGAATCTATTTTAAAAACCAATGGAAGTGGTGTTTCCAGTGGCCAACAGGTGAGAAACCCATAAATGGTTCTATTGGATCAAATGTACTTGATCGATCTAATCGATACTTTTTATGATTATAATATCTTTATACCATCGAATATCTCAACCGTTGAAAAGAAATGCTTCTATAGCCCACTTTACTATTTCACTAGACATTCCATATTCATGCTTACTGATACATTCACCAAAACAGGGGTTAAAAATCATTGTTCTTCAAAACAAGAATAAATGCTCCGGTGCATCAACTGACTTTGCAGACACCAAGCCTCAGGATGAAGAAATCACCTACAGTTAATTCTATTTTGTATTTTTTAAACGCAAAGCTCCAATTAAAGTGTAACCATAATGATAACTATTTAAGAAGATGACGATGAAGAACAGGTTAGAGTAATAAGCAATGCTGCTAAGATCCACAGTCAATTTGCTCTTGGGGATGGTGAAGAAAGAAGCAGCCTTAATTAGATGAAATTGGAAATGAATTCCCAACAGTCCAGGACTGCTCTTCTGCTACAACAGATGGAACTGCCATGACTATTTTGAATGATGTATATGAAGACATATCAAGAAGCGACTCACGGAAGATTTAAAGAGGGAGAAAAAGCAAGCCAGATAAGGAAGACTTCAGGTACCAAAGAGAGAAACCATTTTTCAGTTTGGATCCATCTTGAGTTGAAAGGGCCTTTTTACTAGTCAAGCATAATAACTTGAAAAGGAGAAGCAGATTCAGCATCTAAATGGTACAAGGAAAGTGAAGCTGACTAATTCCTTTCTCACTCAAGGACAGCCTCTATTCCACATAATATGCAATCAGTCCGATCCATCACAAAAGTCCAAGCCTTTCACCACAAAATACGATGAAAAGCATTTATTCTCAAAAGCATAAATCTCATTGTGTTCTGAGGGAGATGTCAAATCCATTTCAAATTAAACCAGCCTCGACAAGAAATGATTCACTCCTTACATTGACATTATCACCATAATACACTTGAATAAATTGCATATTACCAATATGCCAGCCCATGTGGTTTTTTCAATATAATATGATGCCCAATTCTTCTGCCACAAATTATTCACACAGCTACATAATGTAATGATAGAAGACCAAAACTCATTAAGCAAACTGAAGTAATTCAAGTGAGTCAGAAAATATCTCATAAGCAGAGTGATAAAAGTACCAAAACAGAATTTTTATTTACTTTAGTTAAAGAAGGGCCAAACACTTTAGTTAACTATATATGGATGCCTTATGATTATCAAGCATAGGTGAGAATATGCTTAAAGCATGCTTGCAGAAATCCTTTAATCCTACACCACCACACCCACCCCCCACCCTCCCCACCCCCCAAAACACAAAAGGTTGAAAAAGAAGGAACGCCAACTAACCTAGGCTATTCATCCTCTTCCAATCAACTTGGATTACAGTCCTTAAATCCCATCTAAAATGGCCTCAGAAATGCCAGGCATGGCCAACGCAGTAACTTCCGCGTTATCATCATCTATCATAATCCCACCTTGTCCAAATGCTCAATCTGAACAAATGAGCTACAACGACTTGCTAGTCCAAACCATCACTCAGGTTTAAAGTTCAAGATACTAATCATCAATGCAAAGTCTCGGTCTCTTATTTTCTAGCAAAGAAGGTAAACAAAAGGCTTTTTAAACCCTTCAGCAACTCATGTTGTCAAAACCAGAACTCCAAGACCCTGTTTGCTTAAATTAGAAGACAAAATCCTGCGCATGGACTCAGCACAGCAAACAGACGCCTTCTTTCATAGAAGCTTTGTGTTTGTCAAGAAACCAGCAACTTTAACTAGGTAACTTGTCGATTCAGCTTGCTAATCTCGCAAAAACAACCAAGCACACGGTCCTATTCTAGCAAAACATTCCAAAAGCATGGAAGAATAGGCCCATTAAGTCCTCTACCCCATCAATTCAAAATCTCATTCAAATTATGCCGCACTTTCCCATAGAAATGGCGTGCTCTTCCATACCAACATATTCTCGCACGTACAGTTTCCATACAACAAAAGGAAAAAAAAAACTGCATAGCTACAACATTGCAAGATAAAAGAACGAAACTTCACCAAGCAGAGTGACATAAATACGGTAAATCAGAGTGAGGATAATCCCATCAGCATGAAAAACATATTGAAGAACATCAGATAATAGAAATTTGGCAAAAGCGAGAGTACCCTCTTGCGCATGCGGCGAAACTCGCTGGACTTGAACTCGTTCCGGGCCGATTTCTGCAACCTGAGCATCAGGAGCTCTCCCTTCAAGTCCACGACCTCGTCGTTGATTTCCTCGACGGTCTTGACCCTTATCTCCTTCAACTCCTCCTCTCTCTTCGCCATCATCACGACACTCGAAGCTCGGCCCCGAGAGGACGACGACGACGCCGCAAGAGATACACCCAGAGGAGGGCGCCTGTGCTGAATTCGAATGCCACTGAAGGACGACGACCTCGCCGCCGCGGGGAGCGAGGCTTTCGCGGGGAAGACGGCGGCGGCGGCGGGCGGCGAGGCGACGGAGAGGCTCAGCATCTTCGTTTTCCGCAAGATGGTAAGGCTTTGGGAGGAGCTTCGGGTGAAGTTTCGGAGCGTTGGAATGGATTGAAGATAAGGCTCGGTTCCCGTTGTCGCTTCTTTTGCTTATTTATACATCAGGTCCTAAACTTTGCGACGATTACATTTTCCGCTCTAGTTCCTTGCCGCTTTTTCAATTTCACCCTCCTCCTTGACTTTTGTAGGAATAATTGCACAAATGATTCCTAAATTTTGGCCTAATATGCTATGCTTTGTCGTTCATGAACTTTTAGGACATATTCAATTTAGCTCCTGGATTACATGAAAATGTTCGATGTTGCCTTCGAACTTGAATCAATGAAATTATAACATTTAGCTAAAGTGTAGAGACAACATTGAACAAATTAAAAATTCAGGAACAACATTACATATTAAGCTAAAATTTAGGACCACTTTTTATATTTTAATGACCCAAGGTCTCTTGATTTTGTGCAATTTAAGATCTCTCTTGGTTCATTATATCTATGACAATTAGAAATGTTGATATCCCTTCGATGACGTAGCCAAAAAGTTCGAGCAAAGAAGGTAGAGTTGACAAATAGATGGGCACTTGACCTTGATGGTTGGTTAATTGAGAGAAAATTTTATATGGATGTAGCATATATACTAAATAGAATCTATAACACTATAGTTGATAGATCTAATGTGAATCTCATCAGATTTTGCGGTTCATATTGAGTTTAGTACGTGTGCTAGTTTCATGGAATACTTACTCATTAATCACGAATGTGAGATGGCATAATTATACGATTAATTCGAAAAAAGTTGAAGCATACAAGCATTTCACAGTAATTTTACATCTATGGCAAGTTCTATAAATATAAGACAAAATTTATGAAGAGGTTCGTCCAAATTACAGTGAGCATGACTTAGAATTACACTTACATAATGTATTGCATGTGTCCGTGCAACTATATCAGTTAGAGTTACGAGTTCATTGACCAATAGTTTCTATACTTTTGCGTGATAATTAAAACCATCCCTCTATATTTATTTTATTTAAAAGATTTCCTCTAAATTTTAAAAATGTCATCAGTCGTTCCTAAATCTGTCCGATGACAAAATTTGCCGACATTGATTTGACGCCATCAAACATTTATGAGATAAGTACACCATAAGTCTTAAAACTTGTGGTAAAAGTGCAATTAAGCCACAAAACTTTCAAAAAATGTAATCAAGTTATAAAACTTATTAAATTGATGCAATCAAGTCTTTATGTTAAGTCTATCTAATTTGGCCAATAGAAAATGTCAACATGGATTTTTTTATCACTATTCTAAGACATGTGGCACAGATTTGTTGTCATATCAGAAAAAAAAATTGAAAAATTGAAAAAAATATAAATAGGACATAAAAGAACTAAAAAAAAGCAATTAGTGAATTGATATTCTTTGTTCTTTCATTGATGCGTAAGCTATTCATATTTGTTCTCTAATTTCCACAAACCTAAACTTACTGTATGAGAGGCTAGAGAACTCGCGCTATTTCCTCTAGTGCTCCTCCGTAAACTTGTCGAAATGGATCATAAACTTATTTCTTAACTCATATTTGATGGATTGAGTTGTTATACGAGCTAATTATATTCAATAAATTAGTCAAAAATAAATTTAGAAGGGTAATGACTCTCTCTTCATTCTCTCTCCCTCTCACTTGATCTCGCGATTGCTCACTCCGTACTCTCACCTCAGTTTGGGTATGAGTTTTCCTAGATTTAGTTAAATATATGGTTAGGTCGTATGCGAGTCATTAGATTTGTATTATATGGAAGTAAGTCAAATTGATCAATTTGGATCGGACCATTTTCGACCCGACCCAACACACCCGCTTGACAAATCTACTCCTCCGTGAGCATCGGCTATGGGAAGATATGCGCAAATCCTTCGCCGATTCGAAGGGTCGTACGTTTGAGCTAGCCGTGTTACGAATTCAAAGCCCCACCCAGCATTAAGGGGTGTTTGGTTCACTTTGGAAGGGGCTTTAAGCCTCCAAAGCCCTTTCCCAAAATGCCAGAAATGTTTGGTTCAAGTTTGGCTTAAGATGGCCAAATGCTAGCATTCCACGAATGCTATTGTTCACCTTTTTTTTTTTTTTTTTTGGGTTGAAGCGTTCTTCACAAGCAAATGGCTGAGAGGCGACCGCGAGGGTGGCCGGCGAGGAGAAGGGCCGGCGAGGTCGCTGGGACGGGCGTCGCCGGGCGGGCCGCGTGACCTCGGGCGACGCGCCGAGGTCGCTCGACCCAGCGACGCCGCTGAGGTCGCGCGACCTGTGCGGCCGTCGCCTGGGTCGCGTGACCCGCCGAGGTCGCCTAGCCTCGGCGATCGCCGGCGGGGCGATCTGGCCGGGCCAGGGGTCGCCCGACCCCGGCGACGGCCGCGGCGCCGGCTCCGGCAATGGTAGGTTTTGTTTTTTTTTAATAAATAAAACAATTCTCAAAATCCATTTGCAAAAAAATTCACCAAACACAATATTTTGCCCAAAGTAGCTTTACAAAATATTTTTACCAAACACCATTCAGTAGCATTTTCAAAAGCCCCCACCCCGGATTAAAAGTTAGGGTAAATAAAGGAGGAGGAAGTGAAAATTACTTACCAATATAAGACCTCCTCAAGATCTTCGACGACCCTAAAAGCAGAAGCAACTGGAGATTACCTACAGGCAGATCCCTATTTCAATCTCAGCGCATCACATTTGTTCTATTTGAAAATCGCTCTACTTTGTCTGTCTAACGATGAATATTCTTTCTTCGATGTAAAGCAAGTTTAAGGCGAGGGAACTGTTCCTCATTCCTGCCACTCGAAGAGAAGATACGGCGAGTATGGGGAAAGAAGAACAACTGTTCATTGCGTGCGCATAACGAAAGAAAGACGGTGATGAACAATGTAAGTTGGTCTTTATTCCTTTATTGCTTTTATCCTTTGTTTTTTTTAGATTTTTTTTTATCTTTTTAGATATTCATTTTTTTTTCTGATGTGGCGTTTGTGGGCTCCACATTAGCGCCATGTGTCTTAAAAAAATGATAAAAATACCAGATCAGAATTTTCCATCAATTAAACTGGATGGAATAAACAGAAAGATTTGATTGCACTGATTTGAAAAGTTTTTAAGATATGATTGTACTTTTTGAAAATTTTAGAACTCAATTCACTTTCGTCACAAGTTTTAAGACTTTTGGTACGCCTATCCCAACATTTATCATTGTTGACATTTATATAAAACAAAAAAAAACGTATACTCTATCAAAAGAACTATCTTCGTCTCTCCTAGCAGCAGCCATGGTCGCTAGAACTCAAGCTCGAGATATATCCATGGCCTGGAGCCGCTTAAGCTCTAGCCTCACAACACCCACGACGACAAGCAACTCAAGCTCAAGCATAGTGCGTCCATGGCCATGAAAAGCTTGAGCTAGTGACATCCATAATTGCTCGAGCTCAAGCTCCGCATCCATGGCTGCCAAGCCACTCGAGCTTGTGGCCATGGCCACCACAACTAATAGGTCTTGTTGAAGGCGGAGATGATCAGAACTCAATTTAAGATTCTGTTTGTTTTGCGAAAAATGAATAATTTGAAAAATATTTTCCTAAAAATAATCTCTTAAATCGCTTAAAATAATTAATCGATGAAAAATAGTTTTATTGTCAATAGTGATTTATGTCTAAATATTTTCATGAATAATAAAAATATTTCATTCATTTATTTATGTAAGCGAATAAGAATTTTTAGGAAAATATTTTCTAAATTATTAATTTTCTGTGGAACAAATGGAGCCTAACATTTGAAGAAGAAAATGCCATCAATTTCTGTTGGAATTTTCAGCTAATTGGAGTTGTACCGATTAATTGTTTTTTTTCCTTTCTTCTTATGTTTGGATTAGGGGTGAGCATGATATCTGAAAGCTGAGAACCGGACCGGTGGGAAACTGTACGATTCTAGATTCCGAGGTATGCAGGGTAGGTTTCTGATTTCAGAAATTGGGAAATTTGTTTCGATGGGTGGATTCCAATTTCTAACTAAATTCCAAGTAAGTGGAACATGGAACCTGAAATAAGCTTTTGTGTTTTTCTTGGTCTATATCTTCTCGCAATCTCATGGTATTCCATGGTGTCCAATATGAAACTAGTAGTTTGAGCTTTTATTTTATGATTGAGACTTTTATTTTGTTAATGTTTCATATTCTTCGTGTGTCTATAAGTTGTGGTAAGTGGATTGTGATAACACATGATGATTATTAAATGTGATGATTCATTGTAATCGTTCAGTTAATAATATATGTGGAACTTGGGTAGATCCTGTAACCCGTGACAATCAGGTTCCAGAGTATATAGGGTAGGTTCTTATTTCAAAAAATGAAGAACCTGTTCCAATAAAAAAATTTCAGGTTCCATGTTGAACTTATACGGAATTTGGAACCGCTCATTTTTAATTTGGAGAAACATAGATCCCTTTGTTTTAAACATTTTCAAACATTTTCAATTCCTTTAGTTTTATATTTGTTTTTCCATCCAACGTGCAATCATTTCAAAAAAGTCGATTGTCCATGTTAACATCTCGACTGTCCACCTCGGCGTTTCAACGGTCCATATTAGCAAAAACCAACTGGAAAAATCAAAAGTATAACAAAAATTAATGTGAAATATCTTAAACACTAGAGGGATGCTTAACTAAACAAAATAGAGGGGATTTTGATTTTCGAGCAAAAGCACAGGAAACCACTAGTTTACCCTAAAATTTTGCTTCTATTCAAGTCAAAAAAATTTATAATCGGTACCTTGCATTTAATCAAGTTCTTGTTTTTTTTTTTTTTTTTGTCCAAGCATTTGATCAAGTTGGCTTACCATTAGGGATGAAGTAAGCTGGAAAAGGCACATTGGACTAGGAAGTAAAGCTAGTCCCTCTATACCAAGGGTATCGTCACGGGGAAAATTACTATGTAATCTCGCTTTACGGGACCATCTTGATACAACAACTCCTGTGAAGTGAGTTAACGTAGGTGAAGAATATTAAATTTTTTTTTAAAGAGTCCGCATTGTTAGGGATGCATTTTTTATCCTATATAATAAATGTATCCATATCCAATACTATTATCTTGTTTTTAACCTAAGAATGCACATCATATGAAACATTTGATCCTATTCTGATCTTATTTCAATGTATGTTAATTTTGAAAAAGTCTTTGGACAATCAAACACAATAGAGGTTGTTTCATTGGACAAATCCACTCATGGAATTTTTAGGAACAATTATTTCACATCTTATTCAATAAGACATATCACACCTCTTTGTTAATCGCATAATCTACACTTCTTAAGATTGCAATTCATTTTCCTTAGTTTGACTTGATCTTAGCCATCGCCGTAGACCGGACTTGAGACTCTAATGTCCGAACTAGGTACCATGTTTCGTGAACTTGGGACTCGGGATTCAGGCGCTCCAATCCAGGATCTTGGGGGGCAAAACCCTTGAAGCCGATGTTCAGACTTGGGATCGCAAACATTGGACACTAGACGGTCGAACTCCAGACTCAAGGGGGCTAAATAAGGATCTTCAGGGGACCGACTTATCCTGGTCAATTGATCCCTCATCCAAAATCAGGGCTTTCGCCCGTAGGTCTTAGGGCCCTAATGGCGAGTTTCAATACCATAAGGGTCGAAAATGGGACCACGGCACTTGGACATAGGTCCCTAGGAGCTCGACTTGAGACGAAATCCGGGAGCTAGTCCTAAGTCTTGTCCTTGGGTTCCCAAATCAATATTCTGAAAATTCAATTATACCAAATTGCATAATGCTTTTATAAGCGCCCCACGAATATTTTTAAGAGGATCCATGACGTAATAACAAAAGTTCACTGAGTTTAAACTTCCTGCATTCCCAAAGTTATGTCAATAGTATTCTTAATTAAGTATGCTTAATAACAGCACCTACACGATTTGTATTACTATATAAAGTAATTTTGTGCTCCTACTCTTCATGGATCTCAAACCCTTTTTTTTGCCCATTCTCAAATGTTCTCAAATACGTATTTTGTAAATGTCGTACCCACGAGTAAATACGTAAGTTAATAATTCTATATCATTTCTTACATATATCTGTATTAAAATTTGAATCTTTTCCATCACATGACAACCTTCCTAAGAAAAATAACAAATCATGAGATATATATTTAGCCTATAATTTCTTTTCACATAAATTATTCAAGTATTTTCATAATAATTTTTTTTAAGATCTCTATTAAAAATTGAATATAATTTCCTTACTCAATTTTTAGGAATATGTGCACCAGAAGTCCTAAAACTTGACACAAAAATGCAATTGACTCTTAAAACTTACAAAAAGTGCAATCAAGTCCTAAAACTTGTCAAATTGATTCAATCGAGTCTTAAAGTTAACATCGTCTAACTTACTAACGAAAAATATGTCTTATTTTATTACTTTTATTGAGACATGTGGCAATGATGTGATGTCCAACAAACGCCACGTCAGAAAAAGTTAAAAAAATAAAAATTAAATTAGAGTTAATATCACGAAAAGCCCTAAACTGGTACACCTGTGACAAATTTACCCCAAATTAATTTTTTGACCACTAAAAACCCCAAACTAGAACACTTGTGACAAATTTACCCTCCGTTAATTTTCGTTAAATTTTACTGTCGAATTGCTTTGTTAAATGACACGCAATAGTTGACGGATGTACCAATTTTGGGTTTTACCTTCCGTTTGTCACATATGTACCCGTTTGTGATTTCTCGCGACCTCTGCCAACCCTTCTCGACGGCTGTGTCTGCGGCCACCGATGAGGGCTTGGCCAGATCTGACCGAGCGCTGGTGGCCTCACTTGGGGTGGGCAATGTTGGGCGAGGCCTTACCAACCCCAAGCAAGGGTCGTGTTGGCGACCCTTAGTCAGATTTAGGGCGAGGGTCACGCCCTCCCCTAGATCCGGGCTTGTAGGCCCTTGCTGGGGCATCGCCCGGGCCCAACGAGGGTTGCCGGGCTTGGGAAGGCCTAGGCGACCTCCGCCGACCCTTCTCGACGGTTGTGCCTACGGGCACCGGTGAGGGCTTGGCCAGATCTGACCGAGAGCCAGTGGCCTCACTTGGGGTGGGCAACATTGGGCGAGGCCTTACCGACCCCAAGCAAGGGTTGTGTCGGCGACCCTTAGTTAGATTTAGGGCGAGGGTCACGACCTCCCCCAAATACGAGCATGTAGGCCCTTGCCGGGGCATCGCCTGACCCAACGAGGGTTGCCGGGCTTTGGGAAGGCCTAGGCGACCTCCACCGGCCCTTCTCGACGGCTGTGGCTGTGGCCATTAGTGAGGGCTTGGCCATAGCCACTGGTTTGCGGCTTTGTTTTTTTTTTTTTTTAAAATTAAATTAGGGCTAAAATGACATCGTTCGGTCTTATATTTCATAATTTAGCTACGATATCGTTACATAAGAGTGAGAAAATATTAAAATAAGCCACGTCAGCACCACGTTATCATTTTCTATTAATAAGTTAGATGGTGTTAATTTTAGAACTTAATTAAATTAATTTGATAAATTTTAGGACTAGATTATATATTTTGTAAGTTTAAAAACTCAATCTTATGTTCGTGACAAGTTTTATAACTTTTAAGGCACGTATTCCAAATTTTTTAAGAGGGGTCTCCTTTGTTCCTTGGCTGCTGGCTCCTCTCCGGTCTCCTCCTCCCTCTTTCATCCCCTCCATCCTTACTTTTCCTTTTTCTCCTCAGAACGAAGCGTAAACCCCCCCCAATTTCAGGCAGCCGAGAACGACGAACGACAACACGAAATCGAAGGACGACATGGAAGCCGAGCGAAGGCGACTTTGATTCGCAGGTTCCGATTTCGATTGCGAAGGTTGCTGTCTGTCTCCTCCTCCTCCTCCTCCTCTCTCGCGCCGCGGAGCCGAATTCGTGAAGGAGGAAATCGGTGCGGAACTCGTGGGACGGGGAATCGGGTCGGGGGAATTCTTTGGTGGGGGGGCCATTTTGGAGGGGGAATCGAAAGGGACGACACTCCTGGCTCATCCTCTGTCCAACCTGCGCCTGCTCTCGATTCGCGGTCTGAGGGTGATGGGTGCTGCGGGGTCCAAGCTCGAGAAGGCCCTCGGCGACCAGTTCCCCGAGGGCGAGCGCTACTTCGGCCTCGAGAACTTCGGCAACACCTGCTACTGCAACAGCGTCTTGCAGGTGCGTGGGTTTCCTTCTCCCTCCCCTCTCTCTCTCTCTCGATTTCCGACGGCGGTCGCTTCGGGTGGGGTGATGTTCGTAATCGGGGTTGTTTTTGTTTCGAGCGAGGTCGGTTGTGGGATGGGGGTTTCGGTTTTTTCGTTCCTTTTTTTTTTTGGGTGATTTGGGTCTGGTTTGACTTTCTCTGTTTTGGATGGTCATTTGCTGATGGGTTCGTTTTGATTTGGTTTAGCCCCTTTTTGATGAATTCATAGCTTGCAAGGTGGTTCTTTTATCTTGTGAAGATGTGAAGGTGGGCCTAAAGTTGTTGATTACTGGTTAGGATGGATTTTGAAGCTAATGGTTGAATGGTCACCTGTTGGGAATTTTCAAGACACAGATGTGGGTTATGCTTTGTGTCGTCCGGTGATCACTTCTGCGAGTTATCTGTTGTTGGGAAGTAGATTTTGGGGGTTTTCATTGGACAGCAGGAAACTTTCGTTGAGGAGTTTGTTCATTCGATTTTCTAAATGTACTTTTACGGTGATTTCGCTCATCGATATCTCTCCAATTCCTGGGCAGGCCCTCTATTTTTGCGTGCCCTTTCGCGACCAACTGCTTGATTATTACGCGAATAACAAAATTATTGGAGATGAAGATAACCTGTTAGCGTGCCTTGCAGACCTATTTACGCAGGTGTGAAATTCTTCTGACTTTATTTTTACCTGCTGCATTGCTTGTCTACTGTCGGCAGTTTTATTAGGGTAATCGTCTGTTCTGCTATTGATGTTCATTTGAAACTCTGTACTGCTATTGGTGCTCATACAGTAATCCTTTGTGTATGTGTTAATCACTTACGGATATGGTCTTGCTTTGTAGCATGTGTTATCATTGATGGTACTTGATGATTTTTCTTAAAATCTTTGTTAATTCCATTGTGGATGTATGAACTATGAAGAAGTGGCTTTTAAATTGTCGACGGAGGTTTTCAAGTTCATTTTCCCTTGTGAAGTTCTGCTTTGTTATTTTAAAATCTTCTGTGCTTAATATATATTTTTTTTGTTCCACTTATTAAGGGCTTTGCATGATGTTTCTTATACATCCTGTTCTCCCCGAGCAGGGCTCCCACTATTCTAAAACCTATTCTAACTCTAGGTCTGAGCTTATGATGATTATTTCTGATATGCAGATAAGTTCACAAAAGAAGAAAACCGGTGTCATTGCTCCAAAACGTTTTGTCCAGAGATTAAAGAAACAAAATGAGCTGTTCCGAAGCTACATGCACCAGGTTGCTGTGATTTCTTATTTGTTCTTTGTGGTCCAAACATGTTCATTGGGGAAAACTGCATCTGTAAACGTTCCACCTCTGTTAGGAATTTCCGAGCTAAATCTTCAATCTTTTCCATTCTTGATCTACAGTGGACATGTTGGTGTAGAAGGCAAAATAGTAAGCATTGGTTGTGATCTATGGTATGGGAAACAAGAGAGCTTCGAGGATTGTATTATGATACATTCTAGCTCAACTGAGCTTTCATGCTACTTACTTGATACATGGCAATTGTCAAGCTCCTTGGGGATTTCCTGTGATTTATCTAATCCAGGAGGTCCTTGGCTTAACAATGTAGACATCTGAGCAATTCCTATTCTAATAGGGAACGATTATAGTTCTCAATAGATATTCAGTAAAAGAAATTACTTCGCAGATATTGTTTTTCTTGTATTTCTGTTTGGTTTTGGAAAAGATTTGAGAGAGGAGTATGGTATCGTATAATTCCTCAACCATTTTCTTGTTATTGGAGTTCCAGGTGTTTTCTCCAAAATACCCATCGATATAAACCATTGCCAGAAGAAGCTTAATATATGCAATTAATGATAGCATTAGAATTTGTGTTGGAGATTATGTATATTCATTTCCTCATCGTGTTGTGAACATAGTGCAAGGATTTGGCCAATCAGGCATTCCTGTTGATCAAGTGCATTCCAATTTGTTATTGGTATCGCTGAAGATAGTCATGAGTCAGCAATGCCGTTTTCCTCTTTATGTTGCTACTCCTTATAACTATCTTATTATTCTCTTGGAAATGTGTTCATGTAAAATGCCAATGTCACTGTTTTTGGCAGGATGCACATGAGTTTTTGAACTTTTTGCTCAATGAAATTGTGGATACTTTGGAGAAAGAGGCCCAAGCTGCCAAGAATGATCAAGAAGCATCATCACCTGCTGAGAAGACTGCAAACGGGCCTAAGAATGCCCATGCTAACGGTGGCCCGAAGGAGCAATTAGATACTTGGGTGCACAAGAATTTTCAGGTGCTTTCAGCTGGTTTTATTTATTTACTGATAACATTAACTTCTATGAGGATGATTTAGACTTCATAAAGTTACAGCTTTGGTCTTTGTAATAACTTGTGTGGTCATCCTCATATAATTGTTGATGGCCGAGGTTTATGATCATGCCTACACTTATATTTATTATTCTGCTAAACTCATACAAGAATTTTGCTTTTACTTGTGTTTGTCAATTAGGGAATACTTACAAATGAGACGAGGTGTCTGCGGTGCGAGACGGTAACTGCAAGAGATGAAACTTTCTTTGACTTGAGTCTTGACATTGAACAGAATAGTTCAATAACAAGCTGTCTAAAAAACTTTAGCTCAACGGAAACATTAAATGCTGAGGACAAATTTTTCTGTGACAAATGCTGCAGGTTTGTAGCTTTACTTTTTCTGTTCTGGCTTATACTAGTTCTTTTAGTACTTGACCATCATTATACTTATAGTAGGATTGTAACTTTTTTATTGTTAATTGAGGGGCAATGGAGTCTCTTTTTTTTTTTTTTTCCTGGCATTATGGCCTGCCTTCTCCTTCAAGTTTCTTTATGTTTTCTTTATTGCTTTGCCATGAGATGCGATGCAAGCAATCCGCTAGTTCTGGTGTTCAAGTCCATGTGAAATATGTAAAGATTTCAATGTACTGAAAGCTTAAATTTGTTTGTAGTTCCTTGGCTAATGACATGAACAGCTGCCAATTGAGAAGACCATTCTTTTTCTTTTCCGCCAATATGGTGCAGTTCTGAGATGTAAGATTTGACTTGCTAAAGTTGGAAAAATGAAAGGACATGCCTATAAGGTCGATATAGATTGAGTCAGATCTCACGTCACACTGTCTAGTTTAAGGAAGATGTAACCCAAACATTGTTAATTGAAACCCACACAAGTTGTTATTTTCTGTTTGGTTTCTTCAGTTAGATAGTGTGCTTACTTTGTTATTATACTTTGGATAGCAAGTGACTCTGGTAGCAATGTACAGTTGTTGATAGTCAAATCTAGTGGCAAAGAAAGAGTTAATGTGGATCATGTCAATGAATTTTTTGGTGTGAGGACCATGTAGGTTTATTTACTTCTAGATGACGTGTCCAAGGATATTAGATTTATGTTTGCTTTCAATTCTATTTTTCGACTCTTTCATTTGTTAAATGCTCGCATGAAGTTTAGATTTAGTTTTTTCATTACGTTGGTGCTGAGTTGCTGTTAACTGCAATTTTATACTCACAATAGTTCTCTGGTGCTTTGCTTTAAACATGTCATTCATATAAAATTTGTCTATTTTGATGTACTTTTTCTTCTTCTAACCTCCCAGTGTACATTTTCTCCGTTCACAAATTTTCTATTCATTTCCTTTGGGAAGTGTTATCTGTATAAGAAGAAGAGGTTCCGTTCTGTTGGTTCTGTGAGTTCTCTTGTGTGGGGCATCACTTGGATATAACGTGATAAATGTTGAAAGAGCCTTAGGCTGGAGAAAGATGTCATAGAAGTGTGGCCTCTCGCTCTTAAATTTGAGGCTATGTGAATACTCCAAAGTTCTGCTATGATGGATACTATAGGCTCTCTTCATGTTTGCTTATTGTCTAGTTCTTCCCAAAAATGAGAATACTCTTGTGAATGTTTGGTGCCCTCTAACACTTATATGTGACTTCCTTCCAAATGAACCAGAATTAGTAAGACGATGTGAGTTTTCTCATTTTTGTGTTTCTTGGCTAGAAGGAAGGTTCCTGGCTAGCTGTCTTCTCTTGTTGGGCTCTCAGTTACAGCAAGCTATTAGTATTTATAAACCAGAACTAATATTATCTGCCGACCGGCTGTCCAGAGAAGATGGTTGATTAATTCACAATTTTTTTTTTCTCTAGAGACCATTGTGCTTTTTTATTTCCTGCTATGAATTCTGGCGAACTCATTATAGCTTTCAAAATTATGCAAGTTACTTATCACCAGCGTCATTAGTGCTTTTGTCTGCGACAGCTACCACTATGGACTGACTGCTGTCACCGCCACCACAATTATGGTGGCTGGCGACCACCAGTTGAGTCAGTCCCAATAACTCCCCTTTCCACATGTAACTAAACACGGGCATTTTCATGATAGTGTGGTACAACTCCATCATTTGTTTCGGAGGGAAAACATTGAAACCATTATTGAAGTTGCTTTTGCCTGGAAATTTTTTTCCAGGTAAAATCTCTTCTGACTGGAAAGCAACTTACATGAAATGAAGGTGACTTTACAGTTAGAAACTGAATGAGCAATTATTTTTCAGCCATTAGTTTGGTTTATATATATTATTTTTCTATTGATATTATGGTTGGTGGTTGTCTAGCATGGTTTCTTCTCAAATTTCTAGAGTTTCTTATAATCTTCTGTGGCACATGAGTTCTATATATGGCAAACTGAAATAAGTGTTCATGCAGAGTTCAGAAGAAAGGAAATGTATCTTTGTGAATATATATTGCATTTCTCTGACAGCAGTTTCACCTGGGTCTAATAAGTTCGAATTCTGGGGATTCCAACTTTAATTCATTGATCCTATAAATGGATCACAAGGGCTATTAAGGCATTTGGCTGCAGAATATGGTTTATGGCAGTTGAGGTCTCTGTGCTATTTTGATAGTGGCTAATTGCAGTATCATTTTAAACTCAAATTTCTCTGTGATGGAAGACTATAAATGCACTGGTTAGGTAGAGGGAAACTGTCTGCTAGCTTGACGTACTTTGCATTCTAGAATTTGAGTTTTCTAATGTGTGAGGCGGGTGAGGACAGGGCTGTCTTTTTTTCTTTTTTTGGCTTAATGTAAAATCACAGTGGGTGATAACATATATTTTTTTAACAAGATTTTCCTCTTACACCTGGCAAATTTGCTTAATGGTAGTTGCATTCTACTCCAAATGCACATGGATGATGCTGAAAATGCTATGTTTCTCTTTGATCGTCTTTCTTGGTTGTCTACTACTGAGGTAACACTGGGCAAAACTGAACCCTTAAACAAATTGATTGCAGCTTGCAAGAAGCTCAGAAGAGGATGAAGATAAAAAAGCCACCTCAAATCCTTGTCATCCATCTGAAGAGGTTTAAGTACATCGAGCAACTCGGTCGGTACAAGAAGTTATCTTATCGCGTTGTGTTTCCACTGGAGCTGAAGCTAAGTAACACCGTAGAAGATGCAGATTCTGAATATTCCTTATTTGCTGTGGTTGTCCATGTTGGTAGTGGGCCGAACCATGGCCACTATGTTAGCCTGGTGAAGAGCCACAACCACTGGTTATTTTTTGATGACGAAAATGTAGAGATGATTGACGAGTCCGCGGTGCAGACATTCTTTGGATCGGCACAGGAATATTCGAGTAATACAGATCATGGTTACATCTTGTTCTATGAGAGACTTGGCAACGGGCATATGAGTTGAGAAGAAGGGAATTAGTATCCTTAATTAGGTAATTTAACCACTCTGGCCTGTTTTGTTGTTTTATGTCCTTTTTATTGGTCTTTGCCCTCCTTTACAACCTCTCAGGGATCGGTTCGCCAGCTATCATTGAGATAAAAGATGGGTCCTGGAAAGTGTATACTTTGATGGTCCGTGTACAGCTTATGGTGGAAGCACACTGTCCCTTTTTTCTTACTAATAAGAGGGGGAAACAGCACTGTATATGTTGGCTTTGAAAGACTATTACCCGAGTGGTAATTTGCTGTCGATTTTGCCATCATTTTAGAGTAAATTGTAGTACATGGCCATTCTGATTCTGGGTTGTCTCTTGAGCTTTCGGGCGTTGTACTTCTTTGTGAGCTGCAAATTATTTATTGACATCTTCAGGTGGGTGGTGCAAGATTAATGCCATTTGTTGAGTAGGTGTTGAAAAAGCTCTAGTGCTTAATTGTAGCAATAAACCTGGGCCTCCTTAGTCTTTTATTGTTTCAGCCAAACTGAAGGTTGTTTTGGCCAACTCAACAGTGCAAGACATGTATTACACTTCTTGCATCTTCCATCTTTATGGCTCGAGTGTTAAAAAGAGACATTTTCTGCGTGGGAGTGTTTAACTAGAAGCACTAGTACTAGTTTAAGGTACCAAAGCCACCATGTTTCTTGTATGTTGCTAGTGCTCAGGAGGGGAGATAAATTTGATGCCGTTTGAAGATTGGAGGGTTGAGTCCAAATAAGATTATCGAATTTATGTTCTGTTTATCTGATATCTTTCTGATCTATACACACTAAGATTAAATTCAGTCAGCATTGTTCTTCATGAAAATCATTGAAAAAGATGCCCACTTCATTCGAAAGAAGCTATAAATTCAAAGAAGTTATAAAATCTCCATGTACATTATATAGGAGATCCATCGTCCGACTGAAATCTTTGGATTTTGTCAAGAAACCAAAAACCTATAATCTTCTGGAGAAGTGGAAGCAAAACTTGTAAAGCCTCACTTGCGTTGCTTGTGTTGGTACTTTTGAAAATGCATATGGTGGAGATGAATCCATACATTTAATCCAATATAAGAATCAGAATATGTATATCATCATACGTATTATACAACGAAAGATAACGGGAGAATAGAAAGAAATGATATTGAAGCTTACTTGACTGTGCAAGAGATGGTAGTTGTTTTATATTGAATCATTGGGCACATAACCAAAATGTTAAATCCTATTTCTACACTTTGTTATTAAGTTATCTAATACTCGGATGAAGATAAATTTTTTTTGCCAATAGTTTTTTTTGACACTTATTAACTGTTAGAATATTTAAATATTAAATCAAGGCTTTTATCTAACAGTTTAAGCTTTGTTGAACGGTTGACAGTGATTTCACAAAATCTCACATGGCGGTAGAGTAGAAGGTCTTGAGTTCAATTATGAGCTCCTTATCTGTCTCCTTAAATTTAAATTAATAAAATCTACCTATATAGGAAACATTCGTGTTTTTTTAATTGAACAGTAGAACCATCGGACAAAGAATCACCCAAAAAGATTGTGTTAAACTATCATTTAAAATCGGATGTTTATACTTCGCCGATGCTTAAAAAAGGGAATAAAGGCTGTGATCACAAAATTCTTTACGCTTCAAGTCAAGTTCCAGCTTGAATTTAGACAACTTTAAAGTTGAACTCAACTTGAATTTATATACCTGTACGTTGCAACTCGTCAAACTTTGACCACATCGACTTGATATATATAATGAACATCGCTCCTGATTGGTGTATTATGTCACCCTAAAACATGCCCTTTGAGCGAATTTAGCATATGTTCCCTCGATGGACATGACGACATCGTCGTTGTCCAAATGTTTTACTTCTGAAGTTCCAATTTCACTGCAAATGATTTTCCACGAAAGTTATTGACCAATGTCTCATTAAAAAATTCTTGTTCACACTATCAATAGATCCGATTTGAGTGGATCTCATCAATCACTCATTAGGTCAATCAGGCTAGGATCACACCCATGATCCAGTGAACTATGACCATGAACGGCCATTCAAGTCTCATTTGATCGAGAGGAGAGAATGATGAGATTAGGATTGATCAACCATTCTTTGGGAAGAACCCTCCATCGCTTATATGTATGTAACATTTCTTGATTATGATCAGTAAGAACAAATAAATTCCTACTACGTGTGGGGACTCCAACTGTCCAAGCTTTTCTGATGTAACCCAAGGTTGACTACTCGAATAATAGGATTGGGATAGTGACTTGCACACACGGAAACTCCATCACAAAAATGAGTAGAAATTTCAGCTTTGCACTATCTTGGGAAACTGGTCGTAACTTTGTTGATTTAGATCGGAATGAGATTCTAAAGCTAAAAGAACGAAAATTCCTGGATCTACAACTTTTATGTTTTGAGTTTTCTTAGATAAGTGCTATAGGATTGTCGATTTTGGAAGGAAGTGGACGATTATGTACGGATAGAACGAGGAAAAAGATAGGAACTTGAGTGGTTGCTCTTTTAGGCCTCCAAGGAAGTTGAAATTGTGACAATTCTTCTAAATTGATGGCTGCAACTCTTTAAGGATGCAGACTCTAAAAGCTCTGATTTTTTAAGGATGGAGTGAAAACTCTTCTAGGTTTTCAAGGGGTATGAACTCTTCGAAGTTCAAGAGAATTGCACTAAGCAAATTTTATTAATAAAATTCAGTCTCTCTTTTACATAAACTTGATGGCCCTTTATAGCATAACAAAAGAAAAGCAAAAGACTAAAGTCAAATATAGAAACTAGAAATCATTAAAGTATATAGAAACTAGAAGCTATTAAAAGTACATTACTTTCAATGCTTGTGGCCGTCTCAAGGGGTCTTGTTGCAAGTTTCCAATATATGGGTAATGGCAAAGTTTTTGTTATAAAGTAAAAAATGAGACTTTTCACTTGTTGAAAAGGTTCTTCAATTGTCGATTAGGTCTATTGATATTAGGCTTATCGATGAGATTGTCGTCGGGCTTGAATGCGTGCTGACATTGTTGGTTGAATGAGTTGGTCTTGAATATGGGCTGCATCATTTTCTCAAAGAATTATTCTTGACTTAGAGAGACCAATTAATGAATGCAGAGTATGGGTAAGTAAGCAAGCATTTCATCTATATAGCTGTCACTTTCTTCTTTCATCAAATCTTCTAAAAGAAATGCCAAAATCATTACTCACATTTCACCTAATAACCACTCATATACCTCTACTTAGGAAAACACTAAGGCTGCGTTTGGTTGTTCGGATTTCTAAACAGAATAGGACTAGATAGGATAGGATAAGAAATTCTGGGATTTCTTCATATTCTATCCATTGTTTGGTGAACTACGGATTTAAAGTCGGATAGGATAAATTCTTTTTTTTTGCTATTCACGGGTCCGAAGGAGTCGGTGAAGGAAAAAAAGCCGAGAAATTTTTTTGGTGAAAGCGCACAAGGTGTGGGGATGAAGATGACGGCGAATGGAGCGTAGGGTTTCTGGAAAAATAGGCATTAGAAATCCTATCCAGGTCTATCCCACCCCCCTCGGATTTTTTTATCCGGGCTATATCCGGTCTATATCCGACCTTATCTTATCCTGGACCACCACCAAACACAGGATATAATAAAACATATCCTATCCTAGCTTTTATCCGGTCGACCAAACGCATCCTAAATACATACATGAGTTTTGCGTTTAGTGGAGATTACTTTGCACTTCACGTAAATTATCTTCGTATCCCTTATTATGAAAACGACATTCTCTTTCCAAAAATATCCATTCACTAATCCAGAATTCCCGCACCCATACAAAACACTAAAAAACAACTGAAAACCACACCACACAAATCTTGAGCAAGATGCTAAATGAGTTTGTAAGTGATAGTTTGGATAAAAGCGAAGTATCTTTTGGTATTTTCCCAATTTTCTTTTATCGGAAGCATAAAAAACTTTAGCAAGTTTGGCATATATATACCGGAGTGAGTTATTCTAAACGGTCTAAGTTCAAAACTTAACGTGATGCAATCGGGACTCCTATATATTTGTCAACATTTAGATGATTCCCAAGTCGAGCGTTTCTCTTTATTATGGAATTATTAAAAAAAAGGCATAGACATGGTAAGAAGTGTGTTAGAATATGTCTCGAGTTTGAGCTCGTGAACGAAATCCGATCCGGGATGAATTATTATTTGCGGACGTCCAAATATAAGCCATGGAAATCTAGATTTTTCTTTTTGGTGTAAAAGTTTCACTGGATAAGGATTCCAAACAAAACATGAAAGGGAAAGTCTGGGTGAGAGAAGAGGAAGTAAAATAAAATTAAACAAAGGGGCACACAAAATATATTCATGTTGCTCCAAATATATTTCATCTCCAGTACGCGTGGCTATCTTTAACTGCATTATGCTCTTCTTCACGCGGTGGACATATATATATATAGCTCATACGTTGGTTTTTCAAGAGAGAATAGTTGTTGATGATTCGCTTGAAATGCCGTTTTGAGTGCTTGATAGTGGAGCAGTGGGCGTGCTTTGCTGTGCGAAGAGGTGCAGAGGGACTCCATCGCGGGGCTTCGAAGTTCGGACAATTACATCCGCGTGCTAGTATTTTTTAGCCAATTAAAACTTGTGATAAGATCTGTGAATTCCTTCACGAGATTGAGAAATTATTTCGTGAGGAATTGTGAGGCTAAACAATACGTGAGTTATTGAGTGTAATTGGAGCTTGGGAAACACTTAGAGTGTTTGAGTGACTCGAGTATGGTTGTAATCTTCGTTGTATTACTTGATCTATAGTGGAATTTTGTACTGCTCTCCCCGTAGGCGTAGGTCACTACGATCGAACAACGTAAATCTGGTGTCCAATTTATTTTTTTATTCTGTCAAATTTATTATTCGATCGCTTGGCTTCCGCAACAAAGCGAAACTTAGGCCAATGCTGATATTATGTAAAAGCAAGGTATCGATCCTGGTGAGAACTTCAGGAGCTGGTATTATGAATGGTTGTATAGTGTGTGCTTGCAAAATCCAAAATGGGAGAGTATGCAGCACTCGGAGAGTGATTGGATGTTCGGACTCCTCGGTGAAATACTGTCGATTTGCATGTATCATGGGAAGTGCACATAGCTACATGTTCTCGATGTATTCAACATCCGCACCAAGCCATGCGCTGAAGTATCCCTCAAACGATGGTTTCTATCACGAAGCCTGCACAATAGAGTGTTCTTTCTCCAGATAGCAAAACTGCGAAAGTCAATTTTCATTTTTCGTTTCCTTTTCAACGTTTCATGTTAATATAAGCCATTCACAACTTTGACAAACCTTCTTGTGCTGACTTCCGATGCATCTGTGGCCCAAGAAAGGTAGGTGCCTTCAAAGAA